ACATAACATGTACCTAAAAGGCCTGATACATAACAAAAGTTGTTTATTATTATTAATGTAAAGAGTGGTAGGGACTTTCAGGTGAAAGTCTTGGATCTGTTGATTCCTGCCTCAGCTATTTACCACAGTACATTTCCCTCCTTTTCTTTTATACACTTTCCTTTCCATGAACAACACCTACTTAACCTAAAATTAGGACTGATTAATCAGAATGGATTCCATTTTTTCCCTCAGAGATACTGACAACAACTCTTAGAATATCAAACATCTGCAGCTATTTAAAAAACAGAAGCATTGACTCAAGTAAAGGTTAGATAAATGCTGTTGCTACCTGTAAAAATCCTAAAATGAATTCCTCCTCAAGCACACATCAGTAGAATAATAATAACTATACTTATTATAATTGCACTGTGAGTGACTGGCAACTATTAATCACCATAGTTGATCCCTTTGAAGCTTCATAAAAAAATTCCGCAAAGTAGTTGTTAATGTTTCATTTATTGGTGGAGATAATGAATATAGGGAGTGCTTTTGGGAATTCATGGAAGAAAGTGGCAAGAGTGACCTAGGATACGATGCTCGGATTCTGGCCTGTGTGCTGCTGCTCTTGCCCTTGGAAGGCTCAACTATCAGTCTGGTTAGATTTATTTGAACCTTTCAGGATTCATAGAGAAGCTGAGATGTACATAGGTATGACAGCACATATATCATCATGAGATTGATAGCTTTCCATTCATAGTTTTGGTTGGTATTAATTCATTCCTTATTCATTTGTTCATATTTTGCCTTACTCTGGGGAAGATTTTATATAATGTGAATGTGCAAATTATTTAAATTTCCAATAACTTCAAGAGCCCTGAAGAAATGGAAATTAGTATAGAATATAGAAATTAATTGGGAATAGAGAAAACTGTGGTTCTTTTTGGAAGGAAGAAAATACCCAGAACTGATAAAGGCTGAGCTGAAGAGGAGAAACAGTGCTCAGATTTGACTCACTTCACGTCTGTTCCAGGACTAGCCTAACTGGGAAAAGGACACACTGGCATTTTGTAGGAAATACAGCCAAACCTGGCAGGAACTGCCTATAAATATCTTTGAAATAGAACCACACAGGCAAATGAATTGATCTCCTGTGCTCCATGTAGTTGTGTTTTGGAGGTTGAGTAGTGATTGCAGAGAATCACCTGAAGAGCTACTTGGGGGTCTCTACAGGAAACCAGCCTCAGAGAATAAATTAGAACAGAAAGCCTTTTCATGCTGTGTAGAAAGCAGGGAGTGGATGGCACTCATTTGGCAGCTTTCTCAGTGCTTTAGATAGATTACACATTCAACGATTCCTGTTTTATAGTAAAAGGTTTTACCTAAACTGGATTTCTACTGGTGGGAAAAAAAGCCTTTCAAATTTTTCTTTTTTAATATATTAAGATTGTGGAGAATAGCAGAAAAATAAAACAGGAGAAGGAAATGTAAGTAATAAGTCTGGGTTTTGATCTACATGTAATCCAAGTTGCCTGCCTGCCATACCTTTAGGTAAATTAGTTACCTCCTTGTCATTTTGAGACATTACTCACAAGAGACACTAGGTGGTGCTAACACCACACTTTGGTGGATTTCACAAGTCACATTTAATCAGTCCTATAGGTTCTCTTTCCTTTTGTTTACTTGTTTTGCCTTGTTTTACCAGTTCTGCTATGTGTGCAGCAGAGTGATAACTAGAGTTAATACATAAACAGAACAAACAAAAGCTGAAGTATTGTAAATACAATTAATTGTGAGAGATAGTTTTTAAGGGAAATTATACAAGTATGCGAATCTATGGGGATTTATATTTTAGCATACCCTATGTTGTTAGGTACCCAAAGAGGGTGCTCTAGTCTTAAAAATACAGAGAATTTTGGTCTTGCAAAGGCTACAACTTTTTCTTCTATGTAACAAAACTATTTTTTCTCTGACAGCATTCACTATTTTTCTTTTAAAAACTTGAGCTAGCTATGCACAAATATTTTATTTATTAAAATCATGCTGAAATGAGTTCTGAATTCTGTACAACCTTAGATTCAAAATTGACTTTTGATGCTTTTTAAGTTAAAAACACTGTTTTCAACTGGTCTTCCAAGGGCAAGAAAGAAAATAAGGAAACTTTCTCCCACAAATCCTGCTGCACCTTTCGTGGGGAAGCTAAGTATACGAAAGGGCACTGGCCACCAAGACTTTGTGATTCTTTTCTAATTTACTCTGCATAATTGGTTACTCAGTCTTACAGATACTAACATGCCAGCCTGGACTAATCATAATTGTCAAAAATCTTACCATGCCTCTGTTTCCAGTCTCACTATTCCTCTCCTGTTACCCTCCAAGGGTGTTGCTCTCGGTTACTTTTACAGTCAGGAGAAAAGCATATTAAAGAAAATCTGGTGCTCACAGCTAATGTGCCTGAAATGTGTCTGTTTCCCCTT